TAGTCGACTTATACATACTGGTCTGTCGACTTATGGAAAAAATCGGTCGACTTATAACACTATTCATAGAAACCTGAAATTTTGAAAAGCTGATTTTCTAAATTTAATTTAAAATAGTAAAACAACTCCAAAAATAGTAAAATTTGGGACAATATTTATACATATGAAAATAAACATATTAGAGAAGAAATTTCTAAAATAGCACTTCAGATTTGTGAAAACTCACTATTTTGCAAAGCGGTCAAAAATGCGAGTTTGTTAAGTACTTGATTTTGATGAAATTTCTTCAAACAAGTTTTGAGAAACTTTTAAATGGATTAATAGACTTTAGAAAAGATGTAAAATAATATCATTATGTTGATAGTCCAAAAACACAATATATTCTCAAATAGATGTATGATACGATAAATTAATAACGTGTACATGTATGTTTTGAGCTTCAAGTATAAACATATAAAGTATAAATCTAAACTAATATAACCAAGATAAAAATATTCGTTTAGCTTGATCTTGGTAGCGAGGATGAAGCACGATATTGTCTTTGACTTGAAATTTGATGGCTTTATTCCGATTTTCCTTCCAACCTCCAATGGATAATATCGTGTTGGCGCACGTCCAACCAATCTCCAACATAGGATCTTTGTGTAGGATACCTAACAATCAAATTTAAACACTTGACAATTGATATTAGGAATTATTTGTTAATCATCAAGACCAGATTAGACAATAGGCTCATAAACATGAGACCTAACAAGATCTCCTTAAGGTGAGGAGCGGAGACGTAGGTCAAGGGTTGACCGAACTCCATAATCATGTCTTGTGTTTGTGATTGTCTTTGGTGCACTATTTTTTTACATCTTGTGCTTGTTGTTTATATCAGCTATTGCCTCATTGCTTATCCTTACATATCTCTTTGTATATCATATTGCTAGGATATTGATTTATATGTTTTAATTTTGGCATCGTAATCAGATTAGATTAGCTTTACCCTATTCACCCCCTCTAGGGTTCTTTCACCATCGACTTTAAGACCTTGGTACCCTCACAGGATAAAACTAAGATGCACAATGACATGGTCGACTCTAAAGACCTTGGTATCACTTTGAGTAAAACCAAGGCGCTCCATCGACTCTAAGACCTTCCCTCTTGGGATAAACCCAAGACATATTATCAACTCGGTCAGCACTGACTCGAAAGATCTTTATATCACTTGAGTAAAACCAAGACACTACACCGACTAAAAGACCTAGATACCTATTCAGGCTAAAACTAAGGCTTGCTGATAGTGTAGACCATGATGCCATCACAGATAAGTCCACAACATGGGATCGAGTGGTGATACTCACCACACACGCAGTCGAGATGCCCTAAAGAGGTCGAGAAAATCGATGACCCTATATACTACCTATATCATAGAATGTTAGGGCATTAGACTTGAGTAAATTACAGATAAATATAAATATAAACAAAGAAGTACGCTAATCGGGAAGATAAAAACATAATTGTCATTCATATATCAAGATATTTTACATCACTATCTACATTGGCAGTTACATAGGCAAAAAAAGAGAGATACATAATATTCTTAGGGAGCTCGCCTCGAATTTGGAGTAGGACTAGACAGAGGGGCACTCAACTCTGGAGCAGGAGTCAGCTAAGCAGGAATCTGTTGAGCAGGAGTTGGCAGAGTAGGAGTTAGTTGAGCAGGAGCAGAGCCGACTCCTTCATCTTGATTGTCCACTGCGAAGTCTCCTCCCGATTCATCATCTCCTTCATCCCCATCCTCCACATCCAGTACTATTCCCTCTCCCTTCATCTTTATATCTTTCAAAATATCAAGGCAGTTGGCGACACGAGAGGGGTAATAGAGATGGTCTGGAGTGGGTTTGAATTCAAGAGGAATCTGCTCGAGAAGATAATTGAAGCTGGTCTTGCAAGCTAATGACTCTTCCACTTTACTTAGGGGCTAGTGCGATATTTTTCTCCATAATTTCCACTCTATAAGCCTCTAATTCCATTAAAGCAAAGCAAGCGTGTAGGGATTAGATGTTAGCCAGGACATCTTGTGGGACGACTGCTCCTCCTTCAGCTTGATCTTCAAGGACTAGGCAGCCAGGCGATCCGACCAAGCACATTCCTGGACAATGAGACTCTTGCGTTTCTTGGCCTCGACCTCCTTAGTCAAATACCTGATTCGATCATCCCGCTTGAGAATATCATGCTACAAATAGATAACATCGTTCTTGAGCTTAGCAATCATGGCTGATTGCTTGTCGCGATGCGCCTAGTGCCCCTAAATTATTTTCTACCGAGTCTCCAACTCCCGCTGCCATTTGTCATTGCTTCATTTCCATGTTTCTAGATCAAGACCTATGGCCTTGATCTTCTTCTCAGCCTCTTCCTGGCTTGCCCTCTCGGCCTCCAATGCCTCTTGAAGTTTGCTAGGGAAGCTTTGTGCATATTCAAGTCGTGAGAATAGCTTTTGCTCAATCAAGGTTCATTGAAGCAAATAGCCCGAGAGAATGATGAAGACCTACATTGGCATCCCAAGAGGATTTTATCATACTAAGGAAGTGAGAACTGCTCCAAAGTTCAAGCCTGAACCACTTGGGACTACGAAACCGAGCTCCTCTTGTCGAGCTGCTGCTTGGGAGAAAACCTATAATCCATAGACGACTCCCCATCATACCGAGGGCCTTCCCTCAATGTGCCTATCAACATCTCCCTTAGCTCTTCCCATGCATGAGGGTCTATCTCTTTGATATGATGGAGGAAAGGCCACTCGGAGCTGTCCCTAGGGCTAAAGCCGCTTCAGCCATCACCGACTCCTCGGTAGCTGGAAGTTAGGCCGATGCCACCTCAGTAGTGGCTGGCGCCTTAGCTGGCTCCTTTCCAGGCCTAGGGTCAATTCAAGAAGAGGGAGTTAGGTTGTGTCCTCATCCGTCCAAACTTCAGCCTCAATAGGCTCTGTTACATCTTCCTATATAGGCCGAATAGGGGATGACTCTTCGAGAATAACCACCTCTGGTGGTTCGATCAGAGGGAGGACAGAAGCATCTGCCTTTGCTGCTCCCCCATGTCAGCCTGAGCCTATTTGGTGCTCCCTTGGGGACATCGACTGCTCACCTTCAACCACTTCGTCCTCTTCTCTTATTTCTCGGTCTGAGCGGTGGCGCTCTATCTTGCTAACACAGTCGCAAACTCGACAACATTAGCCGCCACCATCTCATTCCTCAACCATTTTTAGGCCTTTTAGTTGAGCTCGGCTTTGTCAAAGCCAAATTTGCTCCTTTTGACACTTTTAATGGAAGAGCCAAGGTTGTCGCTCGGGTGGTATCTGCTTCAACTAGTGAAACTCTAGGTATGCCGACTACTTGAAGGATGGCCAACTCGAAGAGATAGCTGATCTCTCCTGACCCTGCATAAGCCTTAATCTTGTTAAACTTCTGCCTCTCCTTAGCCGAGAGCAGACTTGGCTTCAGCACATCCTTCTTAATCTCAGGCCAAGTCGGACAAGACAATATGGGGTGGGCTCCGAAGACCCATATGAACGTCTCCTTCTTATCTTTGTTCGAGTTAGGAGTGTTTGAGACAAGATTGAAGGCACCCAGATTTTGGAAATAATAATGGCCCTCCTTCTTCTTCGTCTTAACACTATCAAGATGGCCGAGTAGGCACATACTCGGGTCGATGCCGACCTGATAGCAAATAAACACAAATGCCACCAACGTGGCAAAAGAGTTTGGCAAGATCTGAATAGGGGACACCCCTAGAGCCTTAATGGCTTGACGCAGGAAAGCGTGGAGAGGCAGCCAGAGCTCATATTCTAGATGCTTCAGGTAGATCAGAGCTCTATCACCACCGTGATGGTACATGGCCTCGAATCTCTAGCGCTGACAACATGAAAGCCTGAGGAAGATTGAATCGACTGTAATAAGGTTCAAGCTCTATTGTGCAAAACTTTGAGCGAAACAGTCGAAGGAGGTTGATTCGCATCTTGTTGTAGCTAGGGGTAGCAGAAGCCATTGCTTGATCATCGAAAAAGTGATCGGAAATCACCTGATGTAGAGGGTTAGGGCTTTGAAAGTCTATTTAGAAGATTTGTAAAGTGCTCCTTCTCAGAAGTAGGGTACTTATAGGCTCAAATCTAGACACATGTTGAAATCGGAACACCAACTCAGTCACAGATAAATGGCTAAGATCAACATCAAAATTTGAGCAGACCGCACGGGAAACGAGGTTGTATCCTCTATTTCTAGTTTCGCTCAGTCCAAGAATTAAGGTGACAATGGTGCATAATATTTGATGACATCAAAAGGTCACATCAATTATAAAATGTCACCTTCTCCGTAAATGCTCCTTGAAAATCACCTACCAACAACCGCTTCAACATCCACCCCCACTTGGCTAGTTGAATTCAAGGGAAGACGCCCTACGAATAGCCAAGTATTAATCCACCTTTTAGGGTTGACACACGTTCGGCCTTGTGCCTAATTAGATGAACGACTCAAACCGTTGCTTCGATGATCGACCCCATGGACCGACAACTCGCGTAGTCGAAAAAACGTAGTGTTAGTCGACCCTATGTAAGGTCGACTCAAATAGCAACGACACTTACCCATCCTTATACATGGTTGAGCCAAATTGATTTTTAGTTCATCCAGTCTAAAACTTTGGCAATGTCTTTATTGACTAAGGACGGAGCCTAAGATTCTCCCTGTGGTATTCCAACTAAGCCTACTCGTAAGCAAAATATTTCTACACGAACCTATATGTATTCGATCTTCATCGATTTGACAAACTCTAGCACAAAAAATATTCAGTATCATTTTCATCTCCCAAGACATGAAATCGAATCGATTAAACAATCTAAGACTCAAAGTCGAGTCGTTCCTAATCCCTAAAAAGGACTACAATTCAGACTATAGTTCAACACACATAATGTAATATACAAAACTTAGGTTGGCATAATTTTTTTATTATTCATGTCCTTCATATATTTACACTACAAAAAAAGAAACAAAACAAAACAAAAATGAAGATACAAAAGCCATAAGGGGAAAGATTTGGAGACATGTATGGATTAACACCAGGACCAGGAACCAGGAGCGGAGGAGCATTACTAGTGGGTGGCACAAGAGTCGACTGGACTTCAGGTTTGTCACCTTCACCTTTTTTCTCTGGCAAGCTCGCCCAACCGTCTCGAGCTAAACCCTCGCCAGCCTGTTTAGCAGAACCCTCACCTGCCTCCCCAGCCTCCTCGGCAGAGCCCTCCTCAGCCTCACTGTTCAACTCCTCACCCTCGACACCACTTCCGCTACTGAGCTCATGTCTCCATCCCTGCTCCTTTATATCCAATAGTGCCTCCAGGCAGTTGGCAACCCTTGGAGGATAATGGAAATGATCCGAAACACTCCTCATCTCGACCGAAAGCTGCTCCTCGAGATAATTATATCTCGCCTTACAAGCCAACTCCACCTCCACCTTTCTAAAAGCACTATGGCAATAATCCTTAATGATTTAGAATCAATGGGCTTTGGAATCCAGATGAGCAAGGTGATCTTTCAAAGCTTGGATCTCTACGAAGGACAACTCGTGTTGTTACCCAGTCTCCGACACAGACTGAGCACACTCCTCTGAAAACTTCTGGAGGGCCACCCTCTGCTCTTCCAACCCGGCTTTTAGACGTTAGGCACCATGAGGATCCGACTAGCGTAGCTCAATAGCATGATCCCTCTCCCTCTTCCCAAGCATGACCTCCTCAGATATCCTATTATTTTGTTCAAGGAGCTCACACTTGAGCTAGTCAATCTCGACCGACTTCTTGTCATTTGAAGTCTTTAGACCGTCCACCTTTTTTTCTCGTGCCTCTACCTCTTGGTGCCACTTGTCTTCTCTCTACTTCTTGTTGGCTAATTCATCCTCCTTAGTCACTAGTGACAGGAGAGCCCTCTCCAGGTCAGCCTTTTGAACCTCTAATTCCTCTTGAAGCTTGAGATAGGAGGCTAGGACTTGCTCCACTCGGCTGAATAGTTCCTGCTCCACTAGATCCCTAAGAATCAAATAACTCCTTAAGCTCATTGAAGGCCAACATTTGGTATATCTCTAAGAATTTTATCATTGCTAGGGAGATAGAACAGCTCCACCGCTTTCGATTGATTCCAGAACTGACCCCCTCCTATCAAGATAGCACATGGGTTCATGCCTATGATCTGGGGTCGGTTCCTTATCATGTCTGACCCACTTCTCTGGCTCAATCTCATCAATGTGATGAGGATATGGTCATCCAAGTTCCTCAACGGGAGATGCCCCCTCTATGGCCGTCTTCTTCCCCTGGTGTGGGTCGACTCGGTGAGAATTTCTAGGGACCCTTCATCCCTATTTAGGCTTCGATCCCTGCTAAAATGTTGCCTCCCTTTAGGGACTTGGTTTCAGCCTTAGCCACCTGAATGTTGGCCCCTTCTTCTCGTACTGGGGACCTATCGTCAACAAAGACAATTTTGGCTTCTAGGATTAGAATAGCATGTAGCAGTGGCATCCACGTCCTTAGAAAAGGGGTTCTCCACCATTTCAGCCATCTTCTTGGGCCATTGACTGTCCACTTTCCTTAGTCTTTTCTTCTTCTCGGCCTGAATAGTCGAAGGCTTCGGCCCTACCAATCTAGCAGCTATCTCAGCCGCATGAGCACGAACCTCCACCACTTCCTCAATGGCCTAGTTTTATGAAGGTGTTTCGCTAGCCTTGTCAAAGGCCCCTCCTGAGACCCCACTTGATTTTCAGTAGGCCGAGCCATCGATGCCTCGATGGCTTCCCTCGAGCCCAAGGTTAGTTTAGCCGCCCTCACTTCATCCTCAGCAGAAGGAGGCACAGAGGAGATATTGACCACTTGCAAGACTAAAAGTAAATCTTCCATCTTACGAGAACCGGAGTACGCCTTGATCATCTCCTGCGTACATCTCTCGGTACAGGACAATGGCCCTACCTTCAAAGCCTCCCTAGAAATCTCGGGCTAGTTAGAGCTACCTAGGTTGGAGTCATCCCTAGAGACCCATACAAAATTTTCCTTCAAGTCCCTATTCGACTCAGGGGGATCAGTGATTATCTTGTATCCCAGTTTGTGGGAAAATTGAAGAAAAATAAGAATAAAATTCTGTAATTATCTCCCTAACTAACTTAGGAAAAGAACGAGTACAATCTATCTTTACAATCTCTCTCTAACTGATTTAGAAAAAGAAATTACAACTCTTATCTATTGGTATCCCGGTTTACAAAAGAAGAAAAGAATCAACGGAGATCCTTTTCTTTGTTTAAAACTAGGTTATTCTTAGTGTTGATGAGAGATTAAATCTTGTATCCCGTTGATGATACGAATAATTCACCTTATAGAACTTGGTTGATTCCTTTGGATGGGAAGAACTTCCAATGCAAGTTTAAAATTCTCACGAGTTAAGGAACTCTGAACGAGTTTGAGAACTTAGTGAAGAGTTAATTTGAGAAAGGAAATTAATCCTTTTTTATCTAACCGAAATGGTTCACAAGCCAAGGAAAAGCTCCAAGAACGGCTCTTAATGATGCTTCAAACTCTCCAAGATCCAATCCTCCAAAATGATCTCTAAGCCTTAATAATTCCAAGCCAAAATGATGATCTGCCAAAAGATATTTCCGAATATCCAAAAATCCAGATCTACAAAGAAATGTTGCCGATCTCTAGATCCAAAAATGCTCAAAG